TTATCCCGTTGATTGCTGTTTCTGATTCGAGAAAGACGAAATCTGACTGAATAAATATTTATATAATCAATATGCCATAACATAGTTTTGGATGGCATTCTATTGTAGGAATAATTGTATTCTGTAAATTGTGATATGTTGAATTATTGGCAGTTCGAATTAGTATTCAACATACATCGGTTCAATACAAATCAAGGTTTCAATAATCAATGGATAAAAATATATTGTAATGACAACACAACTGAACAAATGGAAGAATAAGGATGAAAACTCACAATCTGCAACTTTATAGTATATGAACATTGCGAATGATGGTAACTTACAAAACTGAAATGAAGTGCTGCCGATTCAATTCTGTGTAATTTTTCTCAATTCATAATTTCATAGTATTATTGAGGGCATTCCATTTTGCACCGCTTTCTAGGACTCGAAACTATAATGTTCCATTCAATTCGAAATACAAGAACTCGAAATTTTCAATCTCCATAGTTTTCTGTCAGAAATTCTCTTATAAATGAGTATTATATAATTCACTCAAGTTTGCTCTTTTGCATTGTGTCGTTACTTCATTATTGAATCTTCCCAGAAAGATAGACGATTCAATGGAGAAATAACGCTAGCATTTTTGTAATGAGTAGATATAGTCCATGTTTCTTCAGTATCAGAAATATAAGAACCAACTTCATTGAATTTCAATTGACAATGAACTAAAACCCTTTCCCTGCATAGAGCAATCTGATTCAGTTAAATTTCGATGACATCAGTATAAGTGCGATCATTTTAAATCTATAATATAAAAATGATTCGCAAAATGTGTTGGTAAGCGCATAACTCAACAACGCTTGGACCAATGTATTCAATTTTTTTTTAAAAATGTTCTTTGAAGTCCGAGGATGGTATTCACGACAAAACAAATTCGAATAATTGCCGGGAGAATCCCGAAAACAGCCCTCTTCTTTTTCCCATACAAACGTTTTGTAACTAAAATGTAGAGACAACGGCTTTACCGATTTCACTATTTTTTTTTGTTGTGTTATTTTGAGGCTATTCAGAGATTATCATCCTCCCTTGCCTCCCTTGAAATTTCGTGCTCCTAGAAAAAATTCTCGTACCACAGAATCATTCCACCTTGAGAATTCAAGGACAAACTGGGTAATACAATCCCCATTCGGTTCATACAGTCTACAATCAATATAGTTGCTGATAAATGTGACATTTACTTTGACTCCTTAGCAGTTATCATTAAGAGTTATATGAACAAGCAGAATGTCTCAAATTGGTTGAATTAGATTGAGTTCTTAGTACTATTTTATTTAATTTAATCGTTTAGTTATTACTCACTTTTTCAATTTCTTTAAATTAGATTGAGTTCTTTGTTATATTTCCTTTCATCCTATTCATTCAGTTATTCAGTTATTATTCAACATCATGTTATTATTTTCGGTAATTGGGTAATATTTCTGTTGAGAATGAAGCATCATTATTATTTATATATAAAGTTAAAAATAGAACAACTGACTTTATTATCATTCGACTCAAATTTCAAGGAATAATCTAGTAATTCCAGTCTTAGATCATAGAATAGAATAGATCGTATACACCCAAAAAACGTTCTGATTCAAATGTGGTGCTTCAACTGAAGACAACATGGTTTTGGTAGAATTCCCTTCAAAGCACTGCTGCACATAAGCTCCTTGCTTTTAAAATTTTCATTGCAATTTGGCATTGATATGGCTAAACGTTCTATTTCTTCTGAGAAACTCGAGATGCCGTCGATTCGTTACCATAGATCTTCCACTTCATATAATTCTATAGAAGGAAGTCTTACGGTATCAAATCACACGATATTTGGAAACAATTATGATTACTGAGACGAATGTGGAAGTTAATAGGGAATAATATTATGCATCAGTCTATCAGCATGAGAACTGGAATTTTCTTATTGATTCATCATTCAATTTTTAGAAGAGCTCTGCCAAAATGTGCTGATAGTGGCAAGAGTGACAGTAATTGCTTCACACTCTTCGTTTTTGAAGAAGCAATCATTCGTCCTACTCGAAGTCTGCACCTGGAAGTAAGGTGTATTTTTTTCAACTGTGACGTGTTGGTTTCTTTCAATATTAACACTTCAATATACTGAATATAACTTAAATTCAAACACTTGAACTTATGATTTACACTTTATTGACTACATTGCATGACGCGTTTCGTCGTTACAAACGACTTCTTCAGATGCTTACAGAATAAAATTCTTTATTCTGTAAGCATCTGAAGAAGTCGTTTGTAACGACGAAACGCGTCATGCAATGTAGTCAATAAAGTGTAAATCATAAGTTCAAGTGTTTGAATTTAAGTTATATTCAATTATAATGGATTTGCATCAAGTAAACGCCAACACTATTAAATACTTCAATATACTCCTAGTCTTACAAAGATTTCGTTCAAAAAAATTCACAAACATTCACTCATTGTGTTAATTTTCTATAGATGGAGATCAAAAACACCTTCCTGCAACTCGCAGATATTGTCCATGAATATATATTCTGTGCTTTTCAGCGAAATTCTCTTACAGAATTCTCCTATTAATATTTGATTGGACTTTTGTGGGACAATTAGTATCATATAAAACTGTTTTCACTCACAGTTTTCATAATAATTCAACGAAATTTCACACAAAATTGTTGAGTTACAAACGCCAAACTTTCATTTTGTTCAAGATATCGTGCAACAAAGAAAACACGTTGTTGTCTCAGTGGATAATATTTCTTTTTTACTAACCCTCAACTCTTGCTGTTCAGGTGTTTCTTGCTGCTAACAGGCGACTGAAATAAAAAAACACGAATGACGACTGATTCACATCTTCATTTCTTTTTGTAACACCTCGACACATATTACAGTAGATTTTTTCAATGAATTTACTATAAATATTCAGTTGGACTTAGTCGGAAGAGCACCCGACTGTGGTGCGGCAGGATTCGGGTTGGAGCCCCTGTAAAGGCATGGGTGTTGGTGTTTGTCTATGATTTATACAGTCTATAACTGTAGACAAATATATTTATATATTCAGTTGATATTTTGAGTAATAACCTCACCTTGTGATTTTATTCCTTCATGTTGCATTTGAGAGACTAAGAATATACACAAAATCAAGTTCTTAATGACTTCTAATGAGCTGCATTAGGCATAATTCAGACTTACGGGTCGATTTCACAGAATCAATAATAGAAACTAAGATAGTCCATGACTTTCACAGTTGTGTTAATTGTACGTTATAATCAATTTTGGCATTATAGTTAATTTCCTCATACAAAGCCAACAATGTAAATGGCATTTTCACTCAATTGTTATGTAACTGCACGAGAATCGAATTGTAATGTAAATACAAGGCATATACCGCTCTATGTTAAATCTCCTACCACAATCAATCGACCATGCAATGCTTACGAACAAAAGATGGCTCTCAGGAATCTATGGGAATGGATGAATTAATTGAATGGCAAGGAACTGAAACTGTGATGTGTTAGATGTAATTTCGCTTCAGTTTATCTGATTCCAATTCGAAATAACGATTCATTCAAAATTACCGGTTAAAATTCTCCATTGCAGAATAACAGTTGATGTCTGTATTATTTTCGCCTCGAGTTTAGTACAAACTTCAAATATCCTGTTAGATATATTAACTCATGCATTCAAATTGAAAACTTTCGTTTCGAAAACCTCAGATTATTGTTCACTTTGTGTTTCATCCAACTTCCATTCGTGGATAAAATGAGTTGGAACAGATGGGTCAAAATTGAGGTGTCACTTCAACCATATAACAACTTCAGGATTCGAAATTGTAGCACAGAATAAATACTTATCAAGCTGAAATATGGAAGGAAAGTAGCGAATAGAGCAACTGAGTTTCGAATTTTCAATAATTATTATTCATTCACTACATGAATATTTATAAATTATGTGAACTAATTCAACAAAACTATACCACAAAACTCAATTGAAATACATGAACGTAAACCGAATCTGCCATATATTTTCATAGAACATAGGAAAACATACGAATAATTCAGCCTAAAATTATGTGTAATGGGAGAATAAACAAGCATAGGCTGATTTGGCAACAAATGTTGCGACAATATAATTTATGGATACATATATATATATATATATATATATATATATATATATATATATATATATATATATATATATATATATATATATATATATATAATGTGTATTTACAATACATTGGTATTACAAAATGGCTTCTAAACATAATCTTACATGTAGTTGTATATGATAGTGATGTTTATGCCATATAAAGTAAATAAACGGTTTAGCCCACTAAGGCCGAGCCAGAACGTGGGACTATCCTTTCCATAACTTTTCAACTGTAATCAGAAATTCACGATGTCTTTCACCTGGGACATACAAGGCGACCAAATGCAGAGGCAGGAAGAAAAATGAGAATATGAGAAATCATAAGTTGAACAATAGTTCAACTTGGTTCAACCTACATAGCATTTGTAGAGTTCATATTGATTAATGCATGTATTCTAGAGCGACTTTATCCTCTTAGAAAATCTCTTATTTGTGTCTTGAAACATCTTAATCCATGTTTTTCTCAAATTTCGTTTGGGACAAAGTTATACAGTCTATTTGCTAGGTAATCCTGAGAGCGCTGTGTCTTTGTTCTCAAGGAAAAACTTGTTTTAAGTTTATTTTCCATCAAATATCGTGTTTGGTAATTGTGATCAACGTAATTTAATTCTCAGTTCTTTCTATGTACTTGCACTACACAATTTATGAAATACAGTTGTCTCAAATCAAGAACATCCACCTCCCTATATATATATATATATATATATATATATATAAATATATATATATATATATATATATATATATATATATATATATATATATATATATATATATATATAGTAAATGAAGAAATATTTATGTAAATTTTGAATCGAAATTACACCACAAAAGTTTTCAACCTCGACTGGGATACGAACCCAGGTCGATCAGGTTTACGCCCTGTTGCTCTACCAACTAAGCTAACGAGGTCTACACTTCGCGATGCAATTCCGACTATATCTAATTACTCTTTTGTTCGCATTTATATATATATATATATATATATATATATATATATATATATATATTTTGAATGTTTCTAGCAATAACAGGCTTCTTTTGATATTAAAAACTTTATTTTTGTTAACGTTTTGTTGTATATCACAACTTCGTCAAAACTAAGGAATAATTGAGTTTATGAGTTACCATAGATATCAAAACGTCAAACTTATTTTTTAGTTCGGGTTCGGGCATTTATATGTAGGCGCATTGAGATAAAAAAAAACAAATTAACAAATTTTTAAACGAAAAAAACTCATGAGATAAAATTGATTGGAATCGTTTTATGATTGTGTGACGAATAAATAACGAAAAGCAGATTGAGAGGTTCTGAGACAATTTTTTATAGTAGAGATATTTCAAGACTTCGTGCAAAAGTGAAAATGTAATATTAGGTTCATAAATTCTGTCGAAATGAAAATTATCGATTAAAGAATCAATAATTCAAAACAAACCGCTTACAAGAGCATTCAAAATTTAGGAAAATATAAGATATTGATTGAATTCAACAACTAAAAATATTCCTATCAGTTTAATATTCGTATCTCAATCGAGATTTAATGCACGAAATAGCAATACCGGAATGAATCAATTATATCGATGCATTCAGAATTACGAGTATTTGATGAGATACGATCTCAGCAAATAACTATTCAATCAGTGTAAGTTATTTTTTAACTATACAATTGTTTCATCATCATTAGGAATCTTCAGTTGCATCATTGAAAACAGTTGATTTGGGACGATTTTTCAAACGCACCCTGGTATTTGCTTCTAAATAGAGAGAACACTCATTGCTCAAGTAATCATGTAACGTCTTTCTATAGAAGAAACGGGGTAAACTCACTAATCTAAAGTATTACAGATCGCTTTCGCTTCGAGCAAACTCGAAGTTGAATAAAATGCTTCACATGAGTACGTTTCAACGGATATTGAAAGCGACGTATCACGTTTTCACTACAATGAAAGCAATTTATATTACGTACAAACACATGTTCAGGATTTTCAATCAATATATAGAGTAACTAAAGTGATGAGTTCAACACATATGGCTACTTCATATATTCGGTTATATGTATCCTTCAAAAATAATCATTTAGTTATGTAGATAACTGTTGTCACAAGTGTCGATAAGGACATGATAAGATGAAGATGAACAAGGTCGGGAAAACTGCTAAAGAAAAAACGTATATTTCATCGACTTAAGAGGCCAGCAAAGCAAATTGGAAACTTCTGTTGGGAATTAGCATACAAACGCAAACTGGGAATGTCTCTTAGGTTTTTCTTGCCAATGTCCATTATCTCGCGTCTTTCCGATTCTTAGGGTCGAAATCGCAAAAAGCTGGGAAATGCAGAGAAACCGTAGTAAGGAAGAAAATGCGATTAATGCGACGCCTACTTCTCCAAAACAAATGAATTTCTCGACTTCCTTCATTTTGATTTAGCTGTTTGCCCCCGTGTTACCAACTTTGCGTTCATTAGTCTTGTCAATCTTCACCGAAATTTCTAGTTAGTAAAACGTGAATCAACATATTCGATATTTTCTTTATTTATTTTCCGGAATGAACGATATGACTGGGGGATGGAAATAATGGGAATTTGATGAAACTTCGATATTCCAATTTCAATGGATATGTTATTCAGAATTTTAAATCAGACTCGTAGTCGATATGGGACGCTGCATGCTTGGAAAAAATTTAAATCAGATATAAATATGCTGAAATTTCCGGACGGAAACGCACAAAAACATATTCGAATGGAGGATATCAAGATTGGGCCTAAATCTAATATTTTTACTCGAACTAACTGAGTCTCATATTGACATGACGGATTGGGGGCATGGATCAATCGATGAACTGTCTTTATAGTTCAATGCTTTTTATACTGATCAGACTAAATAGTAATAATATTGAATTAAAACCAGTGGGTCGATGTCAAAACGCAAATAAATCCTTTGCTATTCCAGAATCAACAAACACTCCTTCAAAAATCTGAGTCCAAGGATAATTTGGTTCAGTACAACAAAATACACTTTCTATATATATTTTGAAGGGCACTTATACCTTGTTACGAAGGTGACCCTCACAAAATATATAGTGAATTTAACAACTTGATTTCAACGTTATTCATTTGAATAGACCAGATCAGCAATATGGCCTGATCGAAAACAATCAGAACCTGATCAGAAAATAATTGCAATTATCGCATTCTCCATATCGAGGTTTAATGAGTTTTACTTGAGATGTAGCATTATGATTCTCTACTTTGTGAGTTAACGTCAGCATGAATTTATTCAGTACTTATTCATACAGCTCTGCTTTGCCTACCTGAATTTCAGATTGCAATTAGTATTATTGTATTGAAAAGGCGGTATAGATGGAAGCCTTATCACTGGAAGAGATTCGTCATTAGAATTATACGATTTAATTAAACAGTCAATTATAGGCAACGAAGTTAATTTGTGTATTCCATATAGTTGTGAGTTTTCATTTATATGACTTATCATACGTTGTGTGAAATTCTTTCGGAAATGGAATGATTTTTTCTTGTAGTGAATTTCTGATATATATATATATATATATATATATATATATATATATATATATATATATATATATATATATATATATATATATATATATATATATATATATATATATATATATATATATATATATATATATATATATATCTAATATATAAAATTCTTGTGTCACGGGGTACGTAATCGAACTCCTCCGAAACGGCTTGACCGATTCTCATGAAATTTTGTGAGCTTATTGACTAGGTCTGAGAATCGGCCAACATCTATTTTTCATCCCCCTAAATGTTAGATGTAGGCCACGCCTAAAGTTTTTTTTTAATTTTTTCGACAAAATTTTCAGTTTTTATTTTTTCATGATACAACATACAAAAATACATGCAACCCTAAATTTTCACTCTTCTACGATCAACTCTTATTTTTTATAGCTGTTTATTTCTTTGGCGGCTTGATGATATTGTTGGCAGGCGATTTCAGGCAGACGTTGCCAGTAATTCCCGTGGAACGCCTCCAGATGAATTGAATGCTTGCCTAAATGCATCACCTTTATGGAATAACGTAAAAACATTATCGCTAACCACTAATATGAGAGTTCAACTTCAAAATGATCAAAGTCCCAGTTGATGCGACATCTGGATTAATTACTCTTACCAATGACTTTTGCCGATTTGTAGACTCTCAATTAGCTCTTATTGAAAATGTTTTCCCAAACATTAGTGAGAATTATCAGAATTATGCTTGGTTAAGTCAACGAGCAATTCTTGCCACAAAGAATAATGATGTACACGCACTGAATTTCACCATTCAATCAACAATTGCTGGCGATTTGGTGACATACAAATCCGTTTATTCCATAACAAATCCCGATGATGTAGTAAATTATCTAACGGAGTTTTTGAACTCTCTGGAGTTACCAGGATTTCCACCACATAATTCGCAACTCAAAGTTGGTACAGTTATTATGATATTGCGTAATTTGAATCTACCGCGACTTTGCAACGGTACTCGACTTTCCGTAAAAAGACTTATGCCGAATTTGATTGAGGCAACCATTATTAACGGAAAGTACGCAGGTGAAAATGCATGTATTACTCGAATACCAATGATTCCGACTGATCTTCCGTTTGACTTCAAACGATTTCAATTTCCAGTTCGTCTTGCGTTCGCAATGACAATTAACAATTCGCAAGACCAATCGCTTAGTGTTTGCGTGATAAATTTAGAAAATCATTGTTTTTCACATGGGCAGTTATACGTTGCTTGTTCACGAGTTGGGAAACCATCCGCTTTGTATGTGTTAACGTCAGACCAAAAAACAAAAAATGTGGTTTACCAAAGAGCACTTCAATGAAACGGATAATTTGCGGACACGTATCACTTTGGATTCACTTTTATTTACTTGGAGAAGTTCAACTAAATAACACTTCCTTTTTGTAATCGAAATGAATTCATTACTGTTTGAAATGAAATAAAATTTTTCCTTTTCAAATATAAAACAAAAAAAATTTTTCCTTCATTTATATATATATATATATATATATATATATAACAGACAATATATTATAATTTCAATTGATGTTTTTCATGTAACTTATTCTTTGCCTAACTATGTTGTCCTTTAAATGAAGAATTATAATTATTATCATCATTGTCATTATTGCAGTTTTGTAATCAGAAAACTTTCAATTATAACATTTCGTCAGCAATGTTGGCGTGAAGTGTGTCGAATATACAAAATGCTATACTCTTCTGAAGTTAATATTGATTTTCGGTTTCTTTTTATCAAGCCATTTATAACAGCATTCAATTGGGCAATTAAATCGGACCTGAAATCAACTAGAAACATCTGAATGGAAGTAAATTAATTTTGCTGTTTTGATTTAGAAAGTATTTGTTCTTCGGAAGTGGCTAAGTACGATTTCTATCAAGGGGAAAACTGAAAATGTCATCTTCATCGAATCAATTAAATACGAGAATCCAATTAGTGTACGTTGATATATACTCACAGTTCTGTTTCCCAGGTTCCGCACTCTACAGCTCAAATAAGCACTTTTACCCACTAGAGCGGTCACATTTTTCGAAACACTCTTTTCAAAATATGGTCCTCTATCTATAATTATAGGTTCAATATCTGCTTCATTGTCAATGTCACTTGTATTATTGTCCTCTTCTATTGTACTGCTGCGCTGGCCTGCAAAAGAAAGATTTTATAAGCTCCAAAATTCAAAGAACTATTTTTTTCAATCATTATAAGTTTAAATTCAGAAGAAGATTGTTGACCAGTTACTATATATTCTTGAGATTTTATAAATACATAAAAAGCATTTTATATCTATAAACGAGTCACATTTTTGAAACAACCTTGAGAATGCTCTCTGTTTTTCAATTG